ACTACACTGTTCTGAAACTTAAAAATATAACTGGGCAAAATTGCCCTCCGCGTTCGCGACAGGAGGGTCGCGTTAGCGAAGGGTAGGAGCTGACAAGCCTTCGCGTTGGCGAGAGGGAGAGTGCGAACGCGGAGAGGAAAATACTGGGGGTCCTAGATTTGGCCTACGCGAACGTGTGAGGCCTTATGCGAACGCGATGAGTGAGGAGAATAAGCTTACCCGATCGCGAGATATGGTATGCGAACGCGAAGGAGGAAAATCTGGGGCTTCGCTAACGCGTGAGCTTGTTCGCGAACGCGAAGAAGGGGGGGCTAAGGCAACGCGAACGCGAGATAGAGGGTGCGAACGCGAAGAAGAAAAGGTCTGTGCACCTGTTGCAGATTTTTCTGCAATTTTGCTAAGTCCAAAACCACCCCGGAAACACTCTCGAGCCCTCGGGGCTCCTAACCAAACACATACACTAACTCAACAACATCCTACGAACTTAACCGTGCGATCAAATCGTCAAAATAACATAAAAAACAATGAATCGAAACCTCAAAACCAATAGTTTTTCTTCAAACTTCATAAACTTTCAAATTTAGAACTTATAGTCCGAAACACGTCAAACGACGTCCGATTTCAACCAAACTTCACAGAAATATCTTAAATCACATATAAGACCTGTACCGGGCGCCGGAACAAAAATACGGGCCCGATACCAACACTTCTAATCGATTTTCATTTCAATTTTCCTTAATAATTTCAGAAAAATAATTTCACAGAAAAATTCATTTCTCGGGCTCTCGACCTCGGAATTCGACTCCGGGCGTATGCCCGAGTCTCATATTTTTCTACGGACCCTCCGGGATCGTCCAATCACTGGTTCGGGTCCGTTTACCCAAAATGTTGAGCAAAGTCAACTTTATTCATATTAATATCAAAATTCATAAAATTTTACACAGAATTTATATTTAAGTTTTCCGACTACGCGCCCGGACTGCGCACGCAAATCGAGGCAAGTAAAAGTTAGACTTTCAAAGCCTCGGAAGCACGGAATGAAAGAGAAAATAGGTGATGACCCTTTGGATCGTCACAAGCGAGTCCTCAATACCCAAAGGCTCATTGGAAAGCTTTAATGCTGGGTTCAAATGCTATACCTAGACATAATTTCATTTTGTGGCTGGCACTTCATCAAAGGCTAACCACTGTTGATAGACTGGCAGCTTGGGGGTATACAGGTAGCAAGTGAATGTGTATTGTGCAACAGTGGGAACACAGAAACAATGGCGCATCTCTTTTTTAAATGTCAATACTCAAGGACCATCTGGAGTACAATGCTCAAATGGTCGGGAGAGAGACATCCAGTTGGACTTTGGGAAGAGGAAGTTGTATGGCTGACGAAAAGAACAAAAAATGGTACGCCTCAAAATAGCATATTGGCATCACTATTTGCAGCTGTGGTTATCATACATGGATAGAGAGGAATATGCGTAGATTTCAGGGGCAAAAGACTGATACCAAAAAGAGAATTCGAGATATTGTCCTTCAGCTACATATCAAAGGACAAGAAGGCTAAATGGAAGAAGATATTAGAAGGTGTAAATAGTTTTCCTCTATGAATAGTCGGCACTCAATAGTATAAGTAGTAGAGGAACTATTGAAATGTACATAACAGTTTTGATTGTTGTTCTTGAGTCTAGCTCTTTAGTCCAAAGGAGCTAGATGAGATGTAATTATCTTTACTGGTTGAATAAAATCTTTTGATATTTGACCCAAAAAAAAGGTATATAAGAATATTTGGACTACACTATTTTATACCTTAATTGTACACTCTAAAAGTATAAAATATAAATACCTACTAGTATTTTAGAAATATTTTTTTTCCTAATAGATATGGAGTGTAATAGCTTTTGATAAGTGAACCATTATTCTTTTTTATTTTTTATTTTTCTATAGTGTCCAACAGACTTTTATTCACCTTTGCTATCTCTCACAAAAATTAATAACCCTGTCTATTATAATTTAAGCAGTTAAGATGAAATCACTTAGAGCATATCTGGAAAACCACCTAGAAATTGTATTTGGGTGTAATTATACAGTTTGGTATGTTTGTCTGGCCAAGTAATTACTTGGTCAGCATAGAATTGGGTGTAATTGGAGAGGTATAATTAAACTCTTCAATTCTCAAGGGGAGGTGAGAATTGTTGGTAATTACACTGTGTAATTACAAGGTTAGGTTTTAATTTCTTTCCTTTTTGTTTTTATTTTATTTTATTTTCTTTATAACTTTTTATTTTCGTTATTTTTATTTTATTTTTACTTTTTAATTTCTTTTTTATTTTAAAATATATTTTTCTTTGTACATTATTTATATTTTATTTCTCCAACTTTACTTCTTGTGATTCCATGTAATTGCACGTATATTTTATTCCTTATTTATTTTATTTTCCTCATTTAGTGTAATTACGTCATTATTGTAGTTTTAAAACTACACCTCCCAACATTAGAAATAATGGGTCATTAACAAACTTGACATATAATGAATGATGTCATTAAAGTAGAATTTCATTGTTGAATAAGGTTGTAAACTTATTACATTTCCTAATCTTAAGTTGTATTGGAACTTATTTTTATGATGTTGAAATTTGACATATGTTCAATTATTAACTATTAATTTTTTGAATTTTACAATTATGTTATATTTATGGTTCCAATTTACTTGTTTTAGTAGTATTGTCTTGTTATTTCATATCGCATGTTGTTCATTTTTTAGTTATAATTTATTGATTAGTTTTGTCGAATATTTGAATAATGTTATGACATTATATTTATAAATATTAATTTATTTTAATCAAACATGCATTCCATTGATGTTCTTACAAAACGTATATTTTAATTTTTGTAATTAATTAAACTAAATGTTATTAATTTGGAAAATATATATCAATTATGTTTTCAATATTAGTTATAAATATATGATTACTAATTAATGTATATTCAAGTAAAATAATGCATCTTCAATACCAAATCTAATATCATTTATACTTATAAAAAATTATAACTTTTAAGTTTTGATAATTACTTTATTTAAAATTGGCAGAAAAGCCTAAATGGCACTTATACTTGTGTCACTTTATCATGCCGGTCCCCAAACTTAGCATTTTGCCAATTGAAAACTTACACTCGTTCAAATTGTGTATAATGAACGCTTATGACAGGAGGCTGTTGTGAGTGTAATACAATCTCCTACACGTAGGATGCCACGTCATTACTAGTGCCACATAGAAAAATAAACTATCGACTTTATCTTAATTTTTTCCTTACTCCACCATCACTTCTCCTTACCACCAACAACTCCACTGTTATCGCCGGAAATTTCCTCCAGTCACCGGAGTACACTATTAAAAATCTTGTAGTGTTCATTCAATTCTAAAGTCTTGTAGTGTTCTAATGATCTAACTGTGCTGCTGATGACATATACACACAAAAAGAAACAGGAAAAAAGAAAAAGCAAGATGTGTTTACAGTTGTTAGTCTCTTCAAGGGGGGTGCGGGTTGGGAGGGGGGGGGACGGGAAGGGGAAGAAAGAGAAAAAGAAATAGATATGGGAGATGGGTTTTGGGAAGAACGGAAGGGGGTGCAGGTGGGGGGGGGGAGGGAGAACAGGAAGGGAAGAAAGAGAAAAGATAAATAGAAAATGGGAGATGGGTGGAAAGAACGGGAAAGGGAAGGATAGAAGAGTAAAAGAAATGGGGGTGGAGTGGGGTGGGGCTGGGGGAAAGAAGGAAGAAGAAAGAACAGAGATATTTTAAATTTTCTTATTTTTTTTTGTCTCTTGCTTTTACCTTTCTTTTTAATTTTTTTCTTCTTATTTTAATCATTTTTAGTATAACTTTTTTATGTTTACTCTCGTTATGCACGTGAAATTCACGTATTGTGTCCAACTCAGTCATGAAGTTGCCACATAGGCTTGGTCAACGGTCAGAGGTGTTTAAAGTAATGTGTTTTGAAAATTACGAGTGTCTAGATGAAACTTCGTCGAGTATCGGGACCGGGATGACAAAGGGGGACAAGTAGAAGTGCCATTTAGGCTATTCTGCCTTTAAAATTTAATCTAACTGTGTAATTAGACTTGTGCAATTAAATAGTATGGTAATAATTACATTGTAATTACGTTATGACAAACAAATAAGTCATCGTAATTACTATATTGTGTAATTACCCCATTAATTACACCAATTTAAATTACAGGATAACTTTCCAAACATATCCTTAATGTATTTTGTCGCTGCTGAGATGTCAACCTGATTTTAATGATTTGTACCAAATAAAGTGAACCGCCCTTTCAGGGATAGGAGTAAGGCTGCGTACATCTTAACCTCCCCAGACCCCACTTGTAAAAAATTACGGAGTTTGTTGTTGGTGTAAAGTGAACCATTGTCACAACTCACAGATCTCACAGTCACATCCTCTCTTAATTTAAGAAGAGTTTAATTATGCAATAGGAATTAGTTGCTTGTTACTTCTACTTTTCGTTTTAATTTATATGAGTTAGTTTAATTCGGCATGAAGATTAAGAGAAAAAATAAAATCTTGAAATATGTGTTCCTAAAAGTTTAACGGGTAAAAATTTTATAAGATCATATGAGTAGTTACAAAAGATTAAATAAAAAGTTTAAAATTAAATTATTTTCAAATATCAACTAATAAAAATATGTCAAATAAATTAAAACAGAAGGAGTATCTTTTGTGTAGACTAGCATAAAAGAAATGACTATTGGCGAATCTTAATTCTTACATGTTAATCCACTATTAATGTAATTTAATGGATTATTATATAAACAATTATCTATAGTGGACGATTAATTAACTAAAATAATATTTTCAAGGATTAGGCGACATGAATGTTACGTGTGCCGCCACTAGCGGACAACTTTTTGACTAGAAAATGCACCGCTGATTTGACGACTAGCGAGACAAACAGTCCGTGAACTTTGTACGCAATTAGACGATGGAGTATATAGGGTTAATAGTAAAGTTGCAAATATTTCTTTATTTTTAACCAGAGTTTCCGCGTTCCAAAATATAAAGTTGTATTTATTAGGAAATATTTTACTTTTAATATAGGATTTGTTGGCACGAATCCGAATTTAGTCCACTCGGATAATACCTGATGGGAAACTAAAAAAAGAACTTTCTATATTTGTGTAGCTTCAGTATCATCAGAGGTTCAGAGTGAGAGAAGAGAAAAGGAGATGACTTTGGGACTGATAAATGCAAATCCAGTGGTTCACGCCAAAAAGGAGAGGATCGCTCGCCCTGAAGATCATCACGCCGTTGATGCTCTCGACATTTATGATATCCTTTTTCCCTGAGTTCGTGCCTTCAATTGCCAAAACTACGTCGTTTACTTTGAAAATTTCTACGTGGAAGAGAATAACATTAAAAAAAAATTTAGTATTTAGTATGTTTATTTTAGTTTTATATATGAAATTTAAATGATGAATTTTCATAGTTCAAATGTCTGAATTTACTATGATCGTCTTGTAACTGCTAGTACTTCAAAACTATGACGTTTTTAGTTCGAAATTTTCTACTGTCAAAAAGAGTATAAGAAGAAAAGGAGAAATCAGGTGTTTTGATGCAGTAAGCTGATTTAGGTTTCTGCTTTCTTTTGATTGAGTATCTTAATTTGGATTTACGGATATTCGTATTTAGTTAATTGTTTATCAATTTACTATGGTTGAATTTGAAGTGATCCTTGATTTTGAAAATTTGATACATTTCGTGAGGGATATAAGAGATCCAGAGCATCCGTATTCGTTAGAGCAGCTGAGTGTACTCTCCGAAGAGTCCATTACTGTTGACGAGAAGCTTGGACGCATTCTGTATGTTCAATACTGACTTATGACCTTATCTGCTTATATCTGCTTGTTTTTGAATTATTATTATCCAAAAAAAAATTGCTCGTGTATTCTTTTTGTTGATGAGTAAGAGCGGACAAATATTATGATTAATCAAATACATACATATATAATTAACTGATTGGTGACTCATGTAAAATTTGAGTTAGTCACATAATTTATCTTCACCGGTTGGCAAATGGCAATTGAAATTTTAATCACCGTTGAAAATACCGTGTATTTTTGGAGTGAGATTTTTGGGCTCATTGTTTAGAGGTGAACAATTAAGTCATATATTTGATTGGAGTTTGAGCTCCATTGAGTTAACATTTTCGGATGGAGTTTCACCTCCCTGATTCCACTCTAGTAGGTGTACAATGTGATTCACTTTGCACTATCTGGAATTATTTGACAACACATTTACCAGAACGTACATACTTATGTGCAATGATTTCTTACATGCTTAATCATTCCTGTTAAAAGTTATCTGGCTCACTAACTTGAATAGCAAATATCCTAGATACCTAAGCAATTTACTAGAAGCTTTGCTATATGCATATGCTTTTATGATAAGCAATGTTGTCAATCAAGAAGAAATAACAGAAAGAACCCCCCCCCCCCCCCCCCGGGTAGCGCCAAAACAGCTTTTAACTTTATAAATTTGAATCTTGCTTAAAAAGCTGTTTTTCCTTTTTCAGCAAAATGTCCGTAATAGACAGGTGCAATGGAGTTGTTTGCAATGATTCTTTGCCATCTTTTACCTGTGAAAGCATCACTCTTTTCAATCGCATATATGTTAAGAACCAGCTGCTATGCATATTAAATGGATGCTATCTACCATGTTTTGTAAAACCTTAAGAAAAAGCCATAAACTAGTAACAAATAATTCCTAACTTTCCTAACTCATGTTGGTTTTGCTTATTTATCTACTTTATTTGTTGCTCATAGGATTACTTTCACCCCAACCATCCAGCACTGTAGCATGGCAAATGTGATTGGCCTTTGTTTGAGAGAGAAGTTGAAGAATTGCTTCCCTCCTCATTTCAAGGTGGTGTTCCTTAATCTGACTTAGATCGCAGTAAAGGTTCTGTTATATATTGGGCGTTTACCGTAGTCTATTTGACTTAACTAGTCTGAGTAAAAATATCTAGTTTTAGACTTTTCTGAAATATCTCGCGTCTTAGCAGAGCACTGCTATTTTAACGAGTAAAGGAATGTATGGATTCAAATGAGCAGGGTAAAATGGTCTACATATAACTGGGAAAGAGCATACTGGTATAATTCTATTTTCAAGGAGCATCCTGCAACAAATACTTGCAAGAATAACAAAAAAAATCACTTTTACTCTCATCTAAATATTTCAAAGTCGCGCTTCTGTCATTAAGAATTTATATTATAATTTTCCTTATAAATCCTAAGACGTCCCACAAAACTTTAGTTGTATTGTCACATTGTGAACTATGATTATGTTAACTTCCTTCTAGATCAATTAGCTGACCTGATAAGTTGTAACTGTACTTTATCATGGTTACTTTCTGAAAAGTCTAAACTGTTTCTTCTCCTTTCTAATTTGGTCATTCAACATGCTTCCTATTTGTTAGTTACTTATTAGTTTTTTTTCTGATAGTTAGTTGGTTATTTAATTTTTTATTCTAATTTCTAAACATTAGTTTATGTCTTAACAAAGTCTCACATTTTATCAGTTCACTAGTTGTAGTTTCTTCATGCTTGAAATTCAGTGATACTAGATTGTCTGTACTTTAAGTGCTGATAGAGATCGAGTGGCATGTTAAGAAGCCAGCACTTCTTACAGGTTTGCCATCTGCTATATATATTTGCTATGCCAAGATTTCGAAGTTTGATGAGAGTGTCTTCTGGTGTGGAACAGTGGAAATCGTGGAAGAGTTAAGTCTACACCAACATCTTTTGTTTAAGATTAAAAAATTATATTGATTGAAGAAGCTTATGGAGTGCTAGAAAAGTATATGGAATAGGTAGAGTAGAAATAAGAAAGGTTTTAAAAATAAGTTAAGAGGAGAAGAGAGGAACAAAGAGAGCAGTAAAGGCTAACAATTCATAATGTGTTCATTCCTCAGGTTTTTCCAAACCGAACGAAGTGCATGAGGATATTACTTGAAGTATATAAGGGCGTTATTTATAGGATAAGGAGGATCTACAATTTAGAACTCTTTTTGTCTCTAATGAAAAGATTAAACTATCTCTAACTAGTGTGTAAGAACTTAGCTTTAATTGAAGGATGATTATAAATAAAATCAAATATAACTACAGAAAATATTGATAATGATATCTTTCATCTAAATATTTCCCTAAGAAAATTCGACTCCAAATTCCAATAAGTGGAAAGCTGGTGCAACCACAAAAGATCCAGATTAATGAAGTAAAAGTCATCCTCGTTGATTATCATATGGTGGTTGATCCTTCCACTTTTTCACGTATATGTTCAAACCCACCAATGTAGGAGGAAGAATATATCTGAGCCGAGGGTCTTTCGGAAACAGCCTCTACTCCATCGGGGTAGGGTAAGGTATGCGTACACACTACCCTTATGGCAAGCATAATAGTGAAATCTTCATTCTTGACCAGGGTTCTACAGAGAGGGAGATAAGAGCTGAGACATCAAAGAGATGATAATAAATTTGTTTAAATCTTAATCTAGTAAATCTTTTGAAGTATTCACTTTATATTTTTGGGTTAGCTGATGGGTTTAAGAGTTGATCATGAGTAGGAAAAAGAACATGGACATTGACACCAAAAAATGAGATTGCAGAGAGTTAAGAGACCCAGTACCTGTGATGGTGGGAGGTACTGGCACCTCGTGGAATTAGTCGAGGTGTGCGCAAGCTAGTCCAGACACCACAGTTATCAGAAAAAAGATTGGAGAGGGTTAAGAGGAAGAAATCAGATAGGGAGTGAGCAGGTGAAGAGGAGAGATTCTTACTGTCTCAAGAAGATTAAAAAGAAAGTTAAAGGGGAGATAGAGAGATCTATTCATAAAGTTCATCCTCAAGTTTTCAAGTGGTCTACACAAAGTATATTAAGATCTTATTAATAATAGGAGTTCTGAAACCTCATTAGAGCTTTTTACATAATTAGGACTCTCATATAATAGATAAGATTTTATCTTTAACTTAAAACATGATAAACAAAACACAATACAATGATCGCTCATTGTTATTGATTGCTTTTGTTATATACATCAAAAGCTCTCCTCAAATTATGCTCGCTGCATTCGATGAGTTCCTGGAAGATAATTAAGATTGTGCTATTCTAAGATTGACTTCTACGACAAGGTGCACTGCTATAGTGATTCAGATCTGCTCGACTTCTATGTTTGATTTCCTCTGAAGTGCTTATTTTTGTGGCGTGACAGGTAGATATAAAAGTGGCTCCTGGATCTCATGCGGACGAAGACGCAGGTAGAGTTAATTTTAGAGTACCTAATTAATTTTTTGAACTTGACCTTTTAAATTTTATTGGTATAGGAAATTCAATTTTTAATTGCTGCAATAAAAGTCTTGACTGAATTCGTCTGTTATTAGCTTCATTGAATCATTAAACATGGATGCTTCCAATTTATAGTATGATCTGATAATGGGGTTGACAAATCTTTCTATTTTTGTGTTATGACTTATTACCTTCTCCACTGAGTTGAAAATACGGACTAGTGAGTCTGTTCACGAAGACAAAACAGGCCATGACAAGTTAAGATGCAAAATACATTCTATTCTACCAAGGAAATCATATAAGCTCTGTGCAGTTGTCTATGGCATGCTGATTCTGGGACAACAGAGCAAATGCTGGAGCACCGGAAAGCTGTATTTATGTTTCTTGATGTATGCCAATGTAGCACTAAATATAAATTCCTCTCTGAGCTTCAGAACTTCCAGAATTGGTTCAGCTTCTTAAGTAAAACACTTCAATCTTAAACATTTTCTATTACCATTCTCTTGCAGTTAACAAGCAGTTGAATGATAAAGAAAGGGTTGCTGCTGCCATGGAGAACCCAAATCTTCGCCAGCTTGTTGATGAGTGCCTCTATTCGAGTGAGCTTTAAAAGAACTATGTTTTCATTTCCTAACAAATTGTATAGTAGGTCTACCTAGCTTTAACAAATGCCATCTGGACATGGGGATATGTTCTACGAGATTCAAATCCGCTGAAACAAGGAGCAGTGATCAATCTGTAGTTCAAGCAAGTCTACTTGCAATGTGCCTTGAGGCCGACGAACGTATGTAAGATGCTTTCCATGTCAGTAAACACTAGATGGAAGCTACATTTAAAAGTTTGTAAGATTTACCTAGTGACAATGGTGCCTGTTCTTTGTGTGGGCAAAATTTGTAGAATATGACAATGCATCGGCAATTATGTACGATATACTTAGAGGCGGAGCCAGGATATGAAGTTTATGAGTTCAAAATTTAGTTTTTTTTTTAATTTACTGGGTTCTAAATTAATAATTTGTAGATAGTCAATTGATTTCTTAAGACAAATACATGATTTGGACCATAGCTATTGGGTTAGGGTTCGGCTGAACCCATAATTGAAGAGCTAGCTCCGCCCCTAGAGGCAGTATTAGTTTAAGAGAGAAGATCTGCAATTGTAACTTTTGCAACTAGTCTCCAGTTTATAACTTCTCCAAGAAAACTTTCGAGTCTAAAGTATTGCGTTCTTTTAGCAAGTCTTCTGACTTGTGCAATCTTGTCATCTGAGGTATATTTTTCTCGTGGTCCCTTCATATTACAAAGAAGCTATATCTTATTTTTTTATATTAATCGATATTGATCTCTTATCAATACATAGATTTATAAATGTATTGTCATTCATTGCGAATTATGCCATGTCGTCTCATAATAATTGAGGGCTTCAAAAGTAGAAACTTAAATTGAAAAGGTCTAAAATTAGACGACATGATATTTCATGTGGTAGTTGTATTTACTATTTAGCGGGTAATAGGTCTGGGCTTTAATTTTGATAGAAATTCATGATCTGTGGTTGAACAAAATAAGTTGAAGTAGTTGCAAATGAGAAGAATTTGCAGGCAATGAGTTGTTATCTATACATTGTCAATATATATAACTTAAGACTTAATTATTGGATTTAGTCGTAAATGTAATATCTTTGGATTTAGACTCCGTAGTTTTTAAGTGATAATATTATTAAATTTTCAGTGGTTTGACAAAGAAGCAGTGGTATTCTTATTGAAATGCTCATTTGAATTAAAAGCATAGATCTATGAGTTTCCAACTGCGTTATTTGGACCCCTTATAAATTAATCATTGAGACGTCCAAATACAATGAGCAAGAGTCAAAAAACTAAAAAATATTGCAAAGCCAGAAATTTTTAAAAGAAGTTTAAAGCATCCATCAGCTAAAATATAATGTACTGCTAAGTGACAAATCACCATCTCATGAGTCCTTAAAAGTCTTGATTTATAGAATTGAAAAATATTTATCCCAAATGCATGTCATTAGGATTTAGAAAAGCACACAAAATATTCTCATCAGTAACACTTTACTAGGCGAATATTCCAGAAGCTTCTACATATTGGTATCTAAATATGACGATTGAGGTTGCTCATGCTATAATTAAGGGCCATCAGCAAAAATGTCTCGAAATTTAAGCGGGATAATTATATTCTTGGACGGACCCAAAAAAAAACAACCGGCAAATATATATATATATATATATATATATTTTGTATATTAAGTATAAATATACATATTATATAGAAAATTAATATATATAGTTTGTATGTTTGGGCTACCACATGTAATTATTTTGTAAAAATTGCACGGGGCGCCCTGTTTGGTCGCCCCCATTTAACCTATACCCATTTTTTTTAAAAGTTTTAACTTGTACCCACTTTTTAAACAACTTCAGCCCCCTTTCTCCTCCTTCGTTTTCTTCTTCTTCTTCTTTCTTCTGTTGTTGTTGGTGCTGCTATGAAACTTCAGTTCATGTGATGATTGCCATAAGTATGTTTATCAGATTATTTAAAAATAAATTATAAATAATTACGTAAGTTAGTAGACAATAATTTGTGAATATTTCCACGTACGGGAAGTTTAAGGTCACACTTAGTGATTCTTTTCATGATAATTCTGTTCTTTTCACGTTTATTTGTTTTCAAAATTTTATGATTTAGATACTGTTGGCAATCTGATTATTTTATAGTAGTCTGATTATAACAAAACTAATGAATCCAAGACAAAAAAACTTACGGCTTATTTAGTTGCTGAAGTTTTTACTAAATAGAACTAAATAAACTTTACAGCATCTTCTGCTGAAATTTTTAAACTAAAGACTTTATTAGACAAAA